CCTGTGAATACCAACCACTTTGACCCTTTGACCTTGACATAGGAGTTTGACCTACTTTTGAAAAACTTGGCCATAATTTTTGAATGGTTGGTGCTAGGGCTTTCATACTTTACACATGTAATCCTTGTGACAAGACCTTCCTTTGGATACCAACAACTTTGACCTTGACCTTGATGTTTTACTTACTTTTAAAAAACTTTAACCTTCGCCATAACTTTTGAACAGTTGCAGCCAGGGCTTTCAAATTTAACATTTTTTATCTTTTGGCCTGGATTTTGACTTGGATTTGAGAAACTTTAACCTTCGCCATAAGCTGCCATTCGGGGGCATCAGTGTTTCACAAACACATCTTGTTTTTTTTTTTTTTTAAATTTAGCTAAACACAAATTTGGAGTCAAGGTCAAAGGAAATATTGATGCAGTTGAATACCTCTCATCAATACATGTATGTATCAGCACATTAGGTTTGATTAAAATATTTTGAATAGTTTCTTTGAAACATACCTAAACACGAATTTAAGAAAAGTAAAGCCAAGGTTAAAGGAAAGGTCAAGTCAAAAAATGTTGATGAAGTTGAATACCTCTCACCAATATGTATCAGTATGCAAGGCTTGATTAAAATATCTTGAATAGTTTCTTTGAAACTGAGCTATACATCAATTTAAGAAAAGTGAGGACAAGGTCAAAGGGAAAATCAAGGTAAGCTCTCATCAATATGTATAAGCATATAAAGTTTGATTCAAATACATACATCAGCATATAAAGGTTTATAAAAATATCTTGAACAGTTTCTTTGAAACTGAGCTAAATGCAAAGTGGTATGCAAGGAAGGATGGAAGACAGACATGACAAAAATATGCCCCAGCTATGTTCAGGGTGGACATAAAAATTCATATAAAATTATTCAGAACTAATATTGGTATAGCATTCTTCCTCAAGTGTAGCAATATGGAAAGGTGAAGCTTATCTCAATATTGTGCAGGACACAATTGAAGAGGACACTACCATGATAAATCAATGTATTTCCATTTTTGGAGAATGGGAAGAACAATTATGATGACACATGTCAAGTACAGATATCAGTTTTGCCATTTAAGAAATAAGGTATCATTTTAAAAGTTTTATCGGGATGTAAATATGGGGTTGGTCATGTGATCAAATCTCATAAAGCCCGAAAGGCTTTATGGTAGATTTGATCACATGCAAACCAGTATTTACATCCCATAAAACTTTTAAAATGATACCTTATTACTTATACATGTATTTACATTTGTGACGGATTTATTACAAATAGTAAGGTACTAAAGTTTTAAACCCATGAATGATTTTTTTTTTTTTCAAAACTCAACGGTATAACTTGAATGTGTTGAACACGTCGATCACTTATGACGTCACTATGAAATTACGTAGATCATGTATGACTAAACAATCAATTTATGGTCACATGACGCACATGTTTTACACAGGTGTAAAAACCCTTGTTCAAATAGTGTTATATAAGGGAAAACATTTGCAAATGTAAATATTTGGTGGTGAACAAATAATTTCTAGAACATGAGAAACTTAAGTAATAACAAGCAACCCACAAAAAAAAGAAAACTTGTAATTAAATTGGTTTATTTAGCAAAACTATTCTGTAATAAAGAAACAGTCCATAATAACAACTGGTTGAGGATGCAAGAAGCAGAATTTGCTTGGCAGCAAAGGGAGATCACAGAATACAGAGAAAGAAGGGGAAGAGACAGACATTTTTTTCACATGCATAATGACTAAGAATCAGGAGGAAGTTCATTTAGAACAAAACGTTTGAAATATATGTTACAAGAAATCATTCATTTTCGAGGCATGTGGTATACAATGTAAATTCTTCATAACGGCACATATGTTCTGAACATGTTTAACATGTCTCAAAAATGACAAAAATAATATAAATTTTGAGGAGTAAAGACTGATTTTATAATGATAAAGAATATACAACAAATATGCAATATGAGTCTATTGAAAATTTCAATTGAGACATGACATGAAATTGAGGGGTTACAATACTGACAGACCTAAACTTAGCATATGCACATAAATTAAAATGAATTTTATATCTAAACCTAAAATGCTTCAAATATTTCACAATCAGAAAGAAAAAATGTAAAACTAATAGAGGAATTAGTACCTTTAATCCAATTCATTTTACCAGATATCTGTAAAGTAAAAAAAAATCCAGAGGTCTAGTAGTTACAACTCAAAAACTTAGTCCATTCACATTTTAAGTGGCAATATTTATTCTTGTTCTTGGGGGAAAAAAAGCTGCATTTTTCGTAATGAACAGTAAATAAATATGGAAAATGTGCCCTTTTCATATTTTCAATAAATAGTCTTTCAAAGGATAAAAACTTATCTTATAACCAGACATGTAAAATTTTATACTCATTAAAAAACAATAAAATAGACCAAGTTACTAAATCTGATCAATTTATACATGAAAGAAAACTTACTGTAATAAATTGTACAAAGATGGGTAAAAAGAAATAAATAATATTCCATGTGGCAACTTATCGTAATACATATAATGTATCTAAAATGAAAGAGCATGATCTTTATCATCTATTTACAAAGTTCCTTATAAAACTAAGTTATCAATATTACTAGAATAGGACTACAACCTATATATGGGTGAATTCAAAAAAAATGACCACCAAACTGAATTTTTTTGGCAAAATTCAACTACTTATAACATATTTTTCACTTATATCATCATATTGCAAATGCATTCTAGTTTAAAATCCTGAAGTGGCAATAGAATAGACAATTGGATTAAATAGTTTCAGAATTTTTAAGAGTAAAATTTCTTTTGAAAAAATAAAATATCATGACACCTTAAAAGACTTTCTAAAATACATAATCACAAGAAATTATAGTTTTTTATGCTTCAAAATGGTAAAAGGGGTATAAATGATTAAATCTAGACCTTGAATGAGTATCTTCTCTTGTACATGTGACAAAAAATTGGCTTTTTGATTGTTATGTTACATTATTTTTTCAATTCTGGTTTGAAAAGTTTTAATATGAAAAAAATATGAAGCAATAAAATTCCCCAAAATTCACTTTTTTGTCTGTTCAAGTCAATTCTTTAAAACTAAGCCAAAAAAGAATTGTTATATACGAGTTCTCTTACAAAAAATACTAGATTTTGAAGTGACCCTATGTTACATTATTGTGTTGCACTCCTGACATCTGATATGTATTTTATTTAACATTGTTTTAAAAATTATAACACACAATAACCCACTCTTACTTTGTAAATCAATTTGTCGTGTTGATATTTTTCATCGTTTACAGAAGATTTTTCATATTTTGAAGACCTTAAAACATGATTATTTGCAAAGTGTAATATATATAAATTTTATTTAAAATATATGTGAAATGATGAAAACTATTCCCTGAATTGACTGTAAAATTTCTGTAATTTGTTGATAGACATAGTTTTTTGAACATCAAATAGTATCAAGCATTTTTTTTCAACTTATTTTTTAGTAAAGATAATTAAAAAGCATCGGTAATTATGAAGCAGTTTTGTTGCACTCCTGACTGCAGTAAAGTTTAAAATTAAAACCATAGAACACAAAAATTCATAAAGTGTTGGCAACATCAAGTGGTAATGAAATTGTGCAATACTTATAGTCCAATACTTCATAATTAAAACAGATGAAAGTATTTAAAATTTACATTTTATCTGGAATTATACCCTATTTTATGCCAAAAAACTAGCTTAAATGAATATTTAGAAGATAAAATATATTTTAAAGCATATTTTCCTTTAGAGGACAAACACAGTAACCCACCAGAAAAAATTGTACTCATCATTTTTTCTTTATTTTTATTCTTGGTGGATGATTTATAATTCTAACATATTTGTTGCACTCCTGACCAAAAGCATTGGGGCCTTTAAAGTAGAATTGTGAAGTGAAAATTACATAAGAACTTATTCTGTTGTTTCAGTGAAGTTGAGGAGGAATTACTTGAATTTAATGACAATGTTTTAGTGTGTTTATTTTTAACGTTCATTAAAAAAATCACAAAAAAGAAAAAAACACATCTGAATTGATAAAATTGAAAAAGGATGGATTTTGATAATAAAACTATCAATAATTTAGCATTAAATTATACAAAAAGATCATTATTAATTAATGGATACCTCTAAGCATGAATAGAAGTCTTTTCGACACACAACTTGAATCTTTAAAAAAATGTGTTGCACTCCTGACCATAGAAATATAGATCTGAAGCACAGACAGATCCTGTAATTGATAAATCTATTTGGTAAAAATGCTCTTTGTGTCTTTATTTTCCAAAATAAAAATCGGAAAATCATATAATGATAATAGTTTTTTCATGCTTGGGAGCAAAACATCAAATGTTGCACTCCTGACATTTTTGGGTATGCACATATACTTGACTCTCATTAATGCTGCTTGTGATTTATATAACATTTTTAAGTTTTAAAATGTATATCAGTTATTATTTTACACTTCCAAAATTCTTTTTTGTCTTAATTTTCTATCAGACTTTTACAATTGATGTTTTTTTGGCAACACTACATTTTTTCTGTTGCACTCCTGACATGGTATAACATTTTTTTAAACATCAGTCATGACCACAACTTGATTAAACAAAAGTTATGACAGTCCACATTTAAAGCTCAATACTTTGAATATTATCAGGAAAGTCTTTATTTTCAACATGAAGCATTGTTTTTTATTTCACAGATCTCCAAAAAATATTGAAATTTCAAAATGTCACAAAAAGGTGTTGCACTCCTGACAATTTTAGCATCATTTTTGGGCATAACTTTTTTGTTAATTGAGATATCAACGAGATATTTGGCAGGTATTTAGACACTATCTAAAGACATATGCTGAGACGTAGAAGTCTATTTTTATTGCCTGTATTTTTAGTTTGGGTTGATAAATATGCGTTTGGTCATTTTTTTTTAATTCACCCATATAAAATAGCACAAAAGCATGTGATCAATTAACACATATTCCATTGATAATTAGAAATCCTTGAGGATTCTGCATGCAACATTTAAAACATACCCTGTCAGTAGTCACTAAGAACACCTGAATATTTACAAACTGAGAGAACTTGCACAGTATTTATGTAATACTCTGTACTTGACTATATCCCTACTGAACCTACAATTTCATTACAATTTCATGATCACACTACATTTGTATGTGTATATACTACAAATCAAGAAAAAGAACAATGAATTTTAATAATTTACATTCCATTCATCTCGTCATGGAGATATTCCGGAACTGAGGCCGGGAGGGAAATCTTGTGTTGTGTTCGACGAGGTGACATGGAGTGCCGTCTGCTCAGATGATGAGCTGGTGATCCTGGTGATGATCCAAGTCGTTTGACTGCTTTAATGGGTGACCTTGGGGAACAGGTCGTCTGAGATCTTTGCAGCATTTGTTTGGGGGTCAGACCTGCTGGGCTCCTGAGAATAACACTGTCTCCCAGGGGCTGTAAAATTTTAGGAAGCTTAGAAGTTTTTACATTATCAATAATCTCTGGTTTCAGTGGAGTTCCTGTAAGGGTATCAGATGTGGAGTCATTTGATTCCTCTTCTTTAATGGACTCTATTGTGGAAACATTCTCCTTATTTTGTGGATTCTCTGTGATGCTGTCTTCACTTGTCTCCATTGGTTCTTCTGGTAAAGGTGTAGCAACAGCAGCTTCAAATACACTATCATCTATCCTGGTATCTTTGGACTTGTATAAGTCTCCTTTAGGAGTATCACTGTCCTTTGCATAGTAAATACTGGGTCGTCTGACTGGTTTTCTAAATTTTGACCCTGTATTTGGGGTATCAACATTTGTAACAGCGACTTGCTCTGTTGGTTTGAGAAGTTGGGTAGAGATAGGAAGTCTAGCCTGTCCCTTACTGAGGAGTTTATTAGGATGACAGTCACTTTTTTTATTGGCAAGAGATTCTTTCCTGGTCAGCATTGATGGTAATTTCAGTGGTGAGGCTCCTGCTTTCCTGGAGACACAGTTTGGAAATCTTAAAGGTGAATTATGCCTCTCAACAAGGTCAGCACTTGCCATATTTTCTACCACTGGAGTGATGTCCCCAGTTTCAAACTGTTTTATACTTGCCGCTACTCTGCCAGCATGTTTTACTTTCAATTCTAAGATGCTCTCCCTTTTAGGCTTGTGGAATTCAGCTTGTTTAATTCTTGGTGGTGGTGGTCCCATAACTTGAAAGTCATCATCTGACGTCTTTTTCATTCCTTTCTTGGATATGTAGCCCGCTCTAGATAACAGATTGTGTGTCTCAGTGGAGATTTGTAGATTTGGTGTAATATTTGGTTGTCGTTTTGCTGCTGCATTATACACACTCTGTGATCTGCTTATGCTTAATCTTGGTTTGTCTCCCTTGACTAGATTTGTAGAAGATAAGGATTTTCGGATTTCTTTTTCACCTTTGTTCTCAATTACACTTGAAGGAGCTCCAGCACTAAGGATGTTTTCAATGAGATCCATTCCCAAATTACCATCCAAAAACTGGTCAACTTCTTGACTTGTGTTTGCATCCATGACTCCAGACTCATCAAACATTGAACCCTTCCCACTGTCAGTAGATAAGGATCTCTGCATGGCCTTTTTCCTTGTTTCTGGTGAGGCACTGACTGATTGTTGTCCACTCAGTAGACTATCAGTACTGTCACACGTTTGGAACTTTGGAGTTTCAGTGGCTTTTTCGCCGTCTTGTGTTTTACCAACTAAGGACTGAATCTCCTTTTCAGCTTTTGTGGATAGATCATTGATACTCAAACTTTTCCTGAATGATGGGGAATTCATATTTGATTCTAGAGCTTGTATATCTCTCAAAGTTTCTTTGACAGAGCTGACTTCGTGCTGTCTTTCATTTGATTTATTTAAGCTTGTGATTTCTATGTCAGCAACACTTGGGACATACAAAGGAATTGGGTCACTTATTTCAGACTTATCTAACCCAAAACTTCTTCGCAGATTTTGGACCTTTCTTGGCTCTCCACTTAAAAGTCCGGCTTTCAGTGAATTGGGCCGTCCTCTTCTCAAAATTTTAGTTCTTTTACTAACATTTAGACTTTTTTCAAACACATCAGATCTGTCCACACTAGAGTCTGACCCTAACTTTGAGCAGTTAACAGAAGAATCTGACAAACAAGATCTAACAGGTTCTCCACAAGTTGATGATCTAGTCCGATTGATTGCTCCATCTGAGCACACGGAGGACAGAGTTGTGTTGTCTGCCTGTGGCATGTCAACATCTTCTGAGCAGATAAAGCCTTCATTCAAAGAGTTCCTGTCATCACAGACTGAAATAATAGACTGATCTGGACCAAAGGTAAAGTTGGACTGATCTACGTCAGGTGAACCAACAGAGACATCTAAAGCTGTACTGGATGTGTTGACACAGTCTTGGTCAGGGCTATTAGCACCATCATCTTGATCCACCAGTCGCTGACCAATGCTTTCTGACAGTTGGGCATCTGCTGAGATTGCCATGGGCTGGAAAAATAATTGAATCAATCAAGAACTACACATAAACAATGTTTTTATTTTTTTTTACTTTATCTTGAAATAACAATTCAGACTTAAGGACAGATGATACAAATTTTTATCAAATATCTTGAAAATAACAACTTAAGTTATGTTTATATAAGTAAAATAAGTTTAATTGCATAGTTTTTAATTTTTCATTAGAAATTCACACAATGTAATTAAAATTAGATCTTCCATTCGCTCCACAGAGTAGGTCTCACTTTTCTGCAAGATCCATGGATCAAAATGAGGTCAACTTCTCTCTGTAGACGTTTCAATATAGTATATGCTGCTTCTAACCCTTTTTTTGTTTTTTAAAAATCTATGATGCAGATTCTTGTGTTAGTAAGAATTGGTTGACTTATAATTGATGCAAGTTCTTCTGTTTTGTTGTTCCTTTGTATCCTCTTACACACATAATACTGTTTAATAATATGAGTATTTTGATTTATTGCCAAATTTCCTATATGGACACATTTCAAAATCACAAGGATAGCATTGTATATAGGATCTCCCAAAGTTTGTGGTAGGATATAGATTTTTATCCAACAAGTTGTTCTTTTTATCCCCAAGCTTTGGCGAGGAGATAAAAACATATGAGTTGGATAAAAAAAATCATATCCCATCACAAACCATTGGAGATTCTTGTTATCATGTTTTACACATAGCTATAACATGTTTTACACTGTTTTATATACATGTATATAAATCCACAATATTTGACTTGATCAAATTCATGTAAAAACCATTATGACATCACAACTGTGGATATGAAAATGATATCCTATGAGCTTTATCCCCTGTATAAAGGAGTAAACATGCGATAAATTGAGATATAACTATATTTGTTCTCTGTTTACCTGGTTATCCCCCTTTCCTCCACTAAATCTTCTGAAAATTCCTTTACTTTTATTCTTCTTAGATGCATTAGGAACCGATATGCTGGAGCTTGATAACCTGTTGGGAAAGCATGATCAAAATGATATTTGTTGGATTGTTAAGCTTTGTGATGCTAGATAAATAAACAGGTAGATTCAAACCAGTCAGCACCATAGGTAAGATCTGTAGTCAAAGCATGGTGCAACATACTTCACTAATATAATTTTTTACGTTCATTTTCTTAGATCCAACATGGTAGTTTATACAAGATATCCATATCGAAGATGAATTAGTAATATGTTCTGTGAAGATTCTTTCCAGTTTGCATCATCCAATTTTAATTTTCATATTTACTCATGTTTTTAACAGCATATCAAGTTTTGGTAAAATATTGAAAATGCAAAACTACATATTTTTTATTGTACATGCATTTGTGTACATCATTTATTATTATGTCTTTATTATGTCTATATGAGATGGACTTCTTTACAGAGCATCATACATTAAGGTTCAATTGCTAACCATTTCATGTTTATTAACATTACCCTTTTGGTATTTTTTATTTCAAACTTGTATTTTTCTATTGGTTTGTACTATAAAAACTGTGACGTTGAATGCTGTTACGTATTTTCACTTACTTCCTTCCTTTCCTCGTGCTTGCTGGACTAAATAAGCCTAGCTTCTTTCTGGCAGTTTTGTTGTTTTGACAAGGAGTAGCACTAAAGGCCAGTTTGTTTTTGTTACTGAAGGCTATACTGGGTGTGTTTAAAGTACCTGCTCTCTTCATTTCTGTATCAGAAAATAATTAAAATGTTGAGAAACTAGAAATATGTCCACAGGACATGAATGCCCCGTCCAGGGTTCATTAGTAATGCAACATGAACATTTTTGTAAGTGTATGAAGTTTGATGAAAATATCTTGAATAGTTTCTTGAAAAACTGAGTTTTATACACAATAAATAGCAAGTCAAAGGCATTGGGAAGGTCAGCTTCAAGAAAAAAATGGACACAGTTGGACAATTCTCACCAAATAATGTATCAGTGCATAAGCTTACAGAAAAAATATCTTGAATAGTTTCTTTGAAACTGAGCTAAACACAGTTTTGGGAAAAGTGTGACATAGGTCAAAGGAAAAGTCAAAGTAAAAAAAATGTTGATGCAGTTGAGTAGTTCTCATCATTACGTGTAAGCATATGAAGTTTGATAAAAATGTCTTGAATAGTTTCTTTGAAAAATTTGAAGTCAAGGTCAAAGGGAAGGTCAAGGTAAAAAATGTTGATGCCATTGAATAGCTTTTATCAATATATAAGCATATAAAGGTTGATAAAAATATCTTGAATACATGTAGTTCGTTTGAAATTTGGCTCAACCTAAATTTGATGTCAAGGTCAAAGTCAAAAATGTTGATGCAGTTAAATAGCTCTCACCAATATGTATCAGCATGTTAAATTTGATTAAGATATCTTGAACATGTTGAATAGTTTCTTTGAAACTGAGCATAATGTTATTTTTAGAAAAGTGAGGTCAAGGTCACAGGAAAGGTCAAGGTAAAAAAAATGTTGATGTAGTTGAACAGTTCTCATCAATATGTTTAAGCAAATCAGGGTTGATAAAAATATCTTGCATAATTTCTTGAAACTAAGCTAAACTCAATTTTCAGAAAAGTGAAGTCAAGGTCAAAGAATAAGTTAAGATCAAAAAATGTTGATGAAGTTAAATAGTTCTTCTCATCAGCATGTATCGACATATAAGTTTTGATAAAAATATCTTGAATAGTTTCTTTGAAACTGAGCTAAACACTAATTTATGAAAAGTGAAGCCAAGGTCAAGGGAAGGTCAAAGTAAAAAAATGTTGATGCAGTGGAATAGCTCTCATCAATATGTTTCAGCATATGAAGTTTGATAAAAAAAATATCTTGAATAGTTTCTTTGAAACTGAGCTAAATTCAAAGTGTGACGGAAGAACAGACAGCAGGACAGAAGGATGGAATAATTGAAGGACGAAAAGATGGAAGGACATAAGACGGACATGACAAACACTATAAGCCCCGGCCATATTCATGGAGAGGCATAAAAACTACTGTGGAATCATTTTAATTTTAAATTGTGGGGGCTTATATTTCAGTGACAGTTCAAAAGAAGGGGTGGACTTAAGAGCCCTGAAAAAAGCCTTAAATTGAAGTTTTATAAAATATTTATTTCTTTCTATATAAAGCAGAGATCATAATTTACCAAATTTACCTGTCTGAAGAGTGTAAATGACTATTCTTATAAGCATAACTACTGTAAATCCCATGTGTCTCTCTCTCAAGTGTTAACATTATTAGCCTTAAATACCAGTAAATGTATATTTTAAGCAATCCTTGGTCCACAGACTTACCATTGATGTCTAATTTCTTGATGGTAGATGCTGGAGTGTAAGGGGTATTTGCAAGAGTTGCTTGATTAGGAAGATTTTTTAATATTGCTTTCCTGTAAGAGAAATTAACAAGTTTTACAGATGAAGCTTTATTTACTTAACTTTATACAATTAAGAACATTTTAGCCCAATATATTAATTAAGTACAAACTTTTTCGAAGCTGAGAAAGGCATTTCTCCTGAAGCTTTTCTTTTCCTGATAACCACTGGGGTTGCTGTAGCAAAATCTGTCTGCATGGGCTGCAAGTTACTAGAATTGGCCTTGTTGCTGATGTGGCTTTTGTTGCTATACTGACTCATGGTGCTCATGTTGCTGGACTGACTTGTATTGGACTTGCCATCAGTACTCCTCCTCCATTTAGTTACACTTTTAGCTATAGTGCTGATTACACCTAACAGTAACAAGAAATATCTACTGTAGATCACACAATTTTCGTGACACCTTTTTTTTTTTTTGCAAAATAGGCATTGGGTATTTATAAGTAAATTTTCACTAATTCTGTTTATTGCTATATTTAACCAAGCAGACCATCTCAGTCCCATTATTTTTAGATAATGAAAATGAAGTTCTTGCAAATAAAAGTGATTTACAGTACTCTATTTCAATAACATGTATATTACTAGAATACACTGATACAAGAACTAAAATGTGTGTCACTTTCATGGACTTTGTCATAATAATTACAATAGACAAGTTTAATTAACTTTATATATATATACATATTAGGGATGTCAACAAGTACCTGGTTAACCGGGTACTCGATCGAACGTCCGAGTATCGAATACTGAAAATGGTACTTGGTTACTCGGATGTATATTTTTTTTCTTATTTCAAAGTATATATTTTTATCAAAAAAATAACATAAATATGCATACGGTTAATAGCGTGTCATCATCTACACCTGTAAAACACGCATTATCGCCTGTGGCTGCGTATATATTAAGTAATTAGTGACCAATCACCTGGTACACAGCTGTTCTCGACTATTGTTGTCCTTGATTTTGGATGGCTTCAATGATTGTTTTCATTGTACATCGATTAAGTATGGTCTTTTATCTTCAAATCCTTTTTAAATTATTTAGTTAATATACGGCAGCGAAATTGGACATGCATAGAAATGCAGCCACCCAGTTCAAAAATGAATAAATATTTAGAAATAACTAAAGATTAAAAAAAAAAAATGTTGAAAGTCAGTTTGCATGTAGTTTTAGTGGTGTCCAGAAGAGTTTTAGTGTATACCATGGAAATAACCAACATACAAAAAAAAATTAGACTAGCAACAACGTCTGTTCCTTCTCTTTCGCTAGCCTTTTCATCACAAACCTGCGTAACAGCTTGTCCTCCTTTTGCGTTGATCAAATAGATCCTAAACAAGAACTGTAAACCATTTGTAATTTTTGATGTATTAATTGTGTCTTTGTGTTCATTTGATAAATAAATTTAGTACCAAAAATCATTTCCATTGGAATCTATGTTTAGGCCAAACAAAAAAATATGTGTGGTTCCGGTTACACTTCTAAAAAAATTAGGGTAGGTAGGTAGGGATTTTTTTTTTTAAACAAAATGATTTCTTAATTTTTTCTAAATAATACCTATCACTGCTTTGCAAATGGCATTTAGATGTGGTGTGATAATATACTAGTCAATATTGGTAGGGGACACCTACATGCTAGCTTGCTTTGGATTTAACACTATTAAACACTTACACTATGTTTTGCAAGGAGGCCGTCATTGCTGAAACTAAAACTTAAACTGGAGCCATTGATGGAAATCGGAGGAAATTCCGGAAAAAATATGAAAATTGCCAAAAAAAAGTTTGGGGTCGGCGGTATAAAATAGGGAAGGTCGGGTAACCTGAACCACCAATTTTTTTTTTATTTGGCCTTATATATATCTATAAACGTTATAAAAACAGCTTTGGGGTTTAATACATAGCTTAACGTGGCTTAAGAAAATTAATACATTTGTATTTACATTTTACCAAGTACCCGGGTACTCGATCGGAAAAACGTCCGAGTAACCGATTATCAAAAATTAACCAATTTGACATCCCTAATACATATATATATATATATATATATATATATATATATATATATATATATATATATATATATTTGTGTTTAATGCAAAAATTCTTATTTCATCATTTGAACACCATCAAATGCTACATCTCACTTTGATAAATATATTTAAGATATTATGTAATCTAAAAGAAAAAATCTGACCATTTGAGCAAAACTGATTTACCTCAAATGATTAAACAAAAAACTCTTTGTATCATTATCAAGTAGGGTTGGATACTATTTGAGATGAAATAGTTTGTTACCATACAGTATTTTTTAAATGATACGATACTTTTTAACGATACCTATATCTTATGATCAATGTATTTGATATATAATAAATATGGTTTCAGTACATACATTAACCTATTTATTAATGACTTTAAAACTTCTTACTTTATTTACACTTTTTTTTTATAAGACATCAACAAAAAAATTTAGAAATATTATCCAAAATAAAATAAGGTACATGTATAATTTTTGCAATGATGAAATTTGACATAACCCCTTCAAGCTGCTATCATGTTTATGGTGAGATGCTAAAAGATGCAGATACAGTAACACAGATTAAGAAAAACTTTTTTTAAGCATAGTAGCATTTTAATTACAGTCAAACCTCGTTATCGCGAACTCATTGGGACCGAGAAGAAACTTCAAGATATCCCCGGATTCGAGATATTCAGGGTAAAATACTTAAAGAATAAGGGATTGGGACTTCCAAATCACTTCGACATATCCATGGTATTTGAGATATCAGTGTTCGAGATACTGAAGTTCAACTGTATTTGAATCTGTTATCATTTATACAAAGCAATGTCAATGTGCATTTTACTGAAAATTAAACATGTCAAATATTAATTGAAAAGTTAAGCAATTCACATCACAAAGCAAGGCCCAGTTTGCCTTTTTTTTGTAATTTATTATAACCTTACAATTAGATCTTGCCATTATCATGGTTATGTTTATTCAAAAATATTTAGTTTTGTTCATATAACTCAAATGCATTAAAATATATGAAAGAAAACAGTCTTGTATATCAGTATGAAATGAAACAGTATTTTACCTGTAAGTCTACAACAGCTGCTCGGTACAGTATGAATACTGAGTACCAGTGTCTAACCCTATTAACAAGTGTAGTAATCTAACTTTTGGGGGAGATCTTCTATTTCTAATATTTGAGAAATTAATAGATCCAAAGAGTCTTGTTTCCTTTATGGATACTAGACTGTATCTTCCAGTGGAACAAACAGGAATGAAATGCTATAATTTTTTTATATATATGTCTAAGAAGAGGGGACAGTTACCAATGTATAAAAAAATAAGGGGAATTTCCTCCAATGGAAAACACAAAATAGTAGTAGTTCATGTATATTTATGATTTTTATACCCAGATGGTACAGGCAAAATGAAAACTCTAAATTTCAGCTAGTGAATAGTGGTCTAGGTGTATTTTGAGCTTTTTAAACATTTGACATTATTACCTTGAAATGACCCTGATCTTTTCCGTCGTTTCTCTTTCTTTTTAAGATCCCTAGACTCCTCCAGTGTATCACAGCTTGCATCCAACTCATCATCAGTTCCAAAAATCTCTGTGATGAGAGAAGCTTTCTCATACACCTCAGGTGATACCATGCCTATCATAGAAGCACTTCTGATTAAGACCTCCACAATGGCTGTCTGAACTTGCAGTAATTTCTCCTCTGAAGAATTCATTTTTTCTGTCTTGTTGTTTAGATGCATGATGTTTGGTGCCAATACTACTGCCAGATTAGGGGCATCCATTTTGTTTTGCTCTGCACAATTTGCCACATCTGACAGCAAAAGCATGACGTAGCGGAGCGTGCTGAGATGTTCCCCTGGTAACAGTAGACAGAGAGACAGAACAGCCTGGGTGGAAACATCCGATTGGTCAATGTGATAACATTTGATGAAGGAGTCATGATAGGCACTGGTCAACAAAGGATCAGGCAGCTTCCGGAAAAACTGTTTGATCAAACCTGTCACATCATAAACATTAGCTCCATGTATTCCCTTTCCATTCTCAATTTGTTGCTGGAAACAAAAAAATATATGATAATTTTTTGTAGTTAATAACAAGCCTGAACTTCTTTTCAGAAATGTTTCCTATTATAGCCCTGCTGTTCTTCATAAGCAGACCCCCCATATATATTATATTCCTAGGTGGCTCTAAATTCGCTCTTGAGTACATCTTGACCTCTGATTTTAACAAGAGGAATATAAATAAGTTATTTAAAAAATTGAAATAAGAAATGTTTTATATTGAAAAGTATATTGCAAATATATAAAAAAGATAAAATAAGCAGATTTTTTCATCAGCTTACTTTTTTTTCTTGAAATGAATTTGATAATTCCACTAGAATTACGCATGTGTAGGGGGACATTTTCAACCATGTCAAAATAAAAGTCAAATTTACGGCGATAATACCTTGTACACAGAATATCTTCATTCACTACTGTTTAGGAAGGATAAAATTAACATATAAAAGTATTTTAATGCACATTATGTCTAAAATGAAAGAAAAATTGGAATTTATTTCTTCTCATATTTTGAACGTAACGTCTGTCAGACTCAATACACCGGGTACATTGTTATAAAATGGGCCATTGTTTATGCAAACTATTTTATTTTTCTTGTCTACTGATAGTAAATTTACCTGTTTACCAATTAAGTGATCGCAGATTCAACAGAAAAGCACGTGTGCTTAGAAATTAACAAATCTGTGGGATGCTTCCTGTGTCTGTCATGGCAAGTGGGCATTACGTTCTATTTTAAGAATGGAGCTCAGAGATCCTTCTTCTTATACATTTGACTTAAACATTAATAAAATATTTATTTTTGACTTGATTATCTATTCAAAGATTTTTTTGTCCTATTTAAGTCAAAAATCATATACACATAAAGAAATCTTAGAAAAAAACGAGTCTACAGTATTCTTTATTTGTCCTCCCAGATGTACTCAAGAGCGAATTTAGAGCCAGGTAACACTTTGACCATTCATTGTGGCCCCACCTTATCCCTTGGGGTCATGATTTGAACAAACTTTAATCTGCTCTACCTGAGGATGCTTCCATATCAATATAACTAATCCTGCCCAAAGTTCTGAATAATTTTTTAGCAGAAAGTGTATTTACTCTCTGATTTTCAAACCAAATGAATGCAAATTTTGCTTCTCAGCAAAAAGCTAAATGAGCATTTTTTAATCTAAAGAGCTAGGTTCACTTTATGCATAAAATGGCCCTGTAGATATACCGATTTATTGACTAACACCTTATGTTCCATTTTGAACATCAAGATAAAGTAGAGACTTGGTGCTTTCATTTCCTGTTAAAATTTTTCTCCTTTAACTCCAGGTCTTGGAAAGCAAGCTTTATGGAATTGCAATGTTCTTGAATTTTAAGGAAAACAGGCATATTTAAGTACTTTCAGAGAAGAAAAATAATATGAGCGCATCCTCTGATCTAAAAAATAAAACGTTTTGTAATCCTCAGAAACGGTTCTATCAGTAAATAATTACATATTTTAGATCAGAGATTGCGCTGTATATTAAATATCGAAAAATAGCTTTAAAAATTGGCTGTTTTTGTAGAATTGTTCAGGATATGAGGAAAATGATGCATTTCATGACGTCATAATGCATTGACTAGCCAGAAAATTACGTCATTTTTGGTAGATTCGCAATCGCCAAATGTCTAAATGAAATTTAATGCATTGTCAACTAAAACTAAGCAGTTTCAGTTTTTCAGAAATTCACAGGGCGAAAAAAGGCCCTTAGTGAACCTTGTTCTTTATTTGCTGTTTTGCCATTTTAGTATATGGCATAATTACTGACTATTGGTCAGAAATCTATTTGAATTTGACTTTTATTTTTCTCTGAGTAAAGTGTACTAAAAGAAATAAATTACACAGATAGTTCCTGCATTTAGTAAAATCCAATTAAAAATGTCAATAAGTTCTTTTGTCTTTATTTGATTGTAACTGAAAATTCTTTGAACAGAATAACCATGCCGTAGACAATATTACCACATGCAAACAAGCTTTAAGTATATAACGTAATTGTACCTACCGCATGATTTAACTCAAAATCCTTGTTTGATTTCTTTGAACAGAAAAAAGGGTGGGGTCACAATGGGGGATCAAAGTTTTACATAGGGATACATAGGAAATAAACTTGAAAAATTTTCTTCTTTCTTCTCAAGAACAGCAAAGCCTTGTTATGTCATACTGATATGGAAGAATTCTCCGATAGTGTAGATTCAACTTTGTTCGAATCATGACCCCCAGGGTTAGGGTGGGTCCACAATGGGCGATCAAGGTTTTACATAGGAATATACAGGAAAAAACTTTAAAAATCTTCTTCTCAAGAACAGCAAAGCCATGTTTTGTCATATTAATATGGAAGCATCCTCATGTAATGTAGATTCAAGTTTGTTCAAATCATGACTCCTGGGGTTAGGGTGGTGCCACAATGGGGGATCATAGTTTTACATAAATATATATAATAAATAAACTTGAAAAATTTTCTTCTCAAGAACAGCAAAGCCATGATTAGTCTTATTGCTATGGAAGCATTCTCAGGTAGTGTAGATTCAAATTTGTTCATATCATGGGTAGGTTGAGGTCAGATTGGGGGATCAAATGTTTTACATAGAAATACATAGGAAAAAACTTTTAAAATCTTCTTCTCAAGAACAGCAAAACCATGTTTTGTCATATATATGGAGGCATCTTCAGGTAGTGTTAATTCAAGTTTGTTCAAATCATAACCCCCCAGGGGTAGGGTGGGGCCACAATGGGGGATCAAAGTTTTACAAAGGAATATATAAGAAATAATCTTCAAGAACAGAAAAAACCATGTTTAGTCATATTGATATAAAAGCATCCTCAGGTAGTGTAGATACAAGTTTTTTCAAATGATGACCCCCCTTGTGTGTGTGTGTGGGGGGGGGGGGGGGGTAGGGGGGACCACAATGGGGGATCAAATTTTTAACTAGGGAATATGTAGGAAAAAATCTTCAAGAACAGAAAAGCCATGTTTAGTCATATTGATATAAAAGCATCCTCAGGTAGTGTAGATACAAGTTTGTTCAAATGATGGCCCCCCTTGTGTGTGTGTGTGTGTGTGGGGGGGGGGGGGGGGTAGGAAGGGGACCACAATTGGGGATCAAATTTTTAACAAGGGAATATGTAGGGAAAAAAAATCTTTAAAAATCTTTTGCTCAAGAACAACCATTTGTTATATTGATCACTCCAGTCCATTACGAAAAACTGTAATATTACAGTTTTCTGTAATATAAGATTTTATATTACAATTTTTCATAATATATCTAAATTATGAATAAAAATTGTTATATTATGGAAAACTGTAATATAGATAGTTTTGTGCAAATATTAAATTAAGCCTTATAAATGCTTCATTATGGTTTATTTTAGTTCCAGACTTCTGTTTCAATTGTTTTCATGGTGCAGGGTAAGAAATAGTCCAAAATTATTGCTTATTTTTCACTTTCTTTGACATAGTCAGGGGTTCAAAATTCCTCAAGCCCGACGTCCCAGACTAACAAATTCCGGATCCGGACTCGGCATTTAGAATCGCCAAAAGTCCAGGGACTTGGCAATGTTTCTTGTTTATCTTTTATTTAAGTTAAGAAAAAAGTTCGTAAAACTAAAAATAAAGCAAATTCTCAAATGTATTGAATAAAAATGTGGATTTTTTGGCGTTAATATACCCACAAAACATTACGAACGTCTCAAAAATACAATCCGTCTTTTTATGTTCCGTTGCGGTTAGACACCTGCTTTTACGCAATTTCTCATGTTTCCTCCCATATGACATGAGTTTGTTAAATTTTGGTTTTACCAGTAAAGGAATGAGAAATAAAAGACCCCGTGAGGAACATGAAGCTGGGGATCAAAATAACAATTCCAAGGACGGAACCTATGACAAGAAGAGAGTTCGCGAATTCCAAAGCCACTGGCGTGATGATAGGCCGTGGCTTGATTACAGTGACAATACGAAAACGATGTTTTGTTCATTTTGTCAAAGTTTTCCGATATTTAATGATGGTTTAAGTAAATATAATTTTATCTATCATGAAAATATGGACTCAGAAATTTCTTCCTCGGACTTGCCTAAAATTTACTCTTTAAGTCCTGGACTTGACCATGATAAAAAAAATTTTGAACCCCTGCATAGTGCATGCTTTGGATGTCAATATCTCCCAAAGATAAATTTTTCTGGGATTGGCACTAATTTTCTTCTGTAGTTTGAAGTAGACCCAGTGACCCAATACTTGTCTTATGTCTCGTCCTTCCTAGTTTTGCTCCAACCATCATGGTTCTTTCATAGTGTAACTAATGCACTAATGATTATCCAGCTGATAATCTTGTATAAAACCAACGTAAAGGCTTAGATAAGATGCATGATACTCCTTAGGTATCTACTTTACTTCTTATTCTTATAGTTAGTGATAGTACTGGTCCTGCTGTGAGGTAGATGCAGATTTGATGAAGCATTAGATTTATTTTTACAATGGAGGAGATAACTCTTACTTACACTATATTATGGAAAATAGTAATATTACAGTTTTTTTATAATGTACTGGACTGTTGATATGGAAGCATCATCAGTTAGTTTAAAATTCAACACCCCCCCCCCCCCCCCCCATTTAAACTTTTCAATACTGAACTAATTTGTGCTTTTTCCTAAGCAATGTGCTCAGGTGAGTGATGTGGCCCATGGGCCTCTTGTTAAAATATTTATTTAGGTGAGCATGTAAATTATGGAATTTTACTTTCATTAATCCCCCTCAATTTTTCTTTTTAATTTCTGTAAACCATTTAAGAAAAAAAAAGTGTTGGCCTTACCTGGAGCTCTGCATGCCTTTGCTCTTCTTAAGAAGAAGATTTTTTTCCTATATATTCTTATGTAAAACTTCGATTGTCCATTGTGGCCCAACCCTATTCCTGGGGGGTCTTGATTTCTACACTATCTGAGGATGCTATCATAGCAATATGACTAATCATGCCTTTCCTGTTCTTGAGCAGAATTTTTTTTAAAGATTTTCTCCTGAATTCCAAGAAGTTAAACTTTGACCACCTATTGTGGACCCATCCTAACCCTTGGGGTCAAGGTTTTAAAAAAAAACCACTTAATAGTAACCTGAGGATGCTTCAATATGACTTATGCCTTTGCTGTTCTTAAGAAGAAGATTTTCAGATATTTTTTTCATACATACATTCCATGTAAAACTTTGACCATCCAATGAGAGCCCACCATACCTCCAGGGGTCATGATTTGAACAAACTTGAATCTACACTACCTGAGGATGCTACTATACAAATATGATTACTCATGACCTTAACAATCTTGAAGAGAAGATTTTAAAAGATTTTTCCTAAATATTCCTACGTAAAACTTTAATTTCCTATTGTGGCCCAATCCTAGCCCCAGGGGTCATGATTTTAAAAAAAAATTGAATCTACACTATGCAATGAAGCCTTCACATAAGTTTCATCTTTTCTGGTCCAGTGGTTCTTGACAAGAAGATTTTTCTAAGATGCCATTAAATTTTCACTAATTCTTAATTATCTCCCCTTGAAAGAGGGCATGGCCCTTACATTAAAAAAGAAAAATCCCCTTCACCCAAGGATGCTTTGTGGCAAATTTGCTTGAAATTGGCCCAATGGTTCTTGAGAAAAAGTTCAAAAACTGAAAAGTTTAGAAGACATGACAGATGGACACTAGACACTCTTCCATCAGAAAAGTTCACTTGAGCCTTTGCTCAGGTGAGCTAAAAATTGATTAAATGATGCCAACCGTCTTTTATTTTAATGAGTTACCTTGAGCTGCTTTTGCCGACTAACAGCCCCCGACTTTCGGAACAGTCCTTCTTGTTCAATGTTTTCATGAATCAGGGATGCTGCATCCACTAGAAACCTAAAGAACAAAATTTATTCCACTCAAATTAGCTGTCAAAATTTCAGGAATTCCATTACAGTGGAGCTTCAGATATCCAGACGCTCCAGCTTGAGGACAATTTTTTGTGGAAATGGAATTTTTTAACATTATTTTGTCTTGTTTATTCAGAATTCCACATTCCGGATCAGGACAGTTCAATTGTCACCATTAAAGCATTTTCATGTTATGTTTCGGTTCATTTATCTGGTAATTTTTCATCGCTCTGTCAACTTTGCTCAAATTTCTTGATCTGGGTGTTAATTGTTGCAAAATCACCCGTGACCTGTTATGCTGTTACACTGCAATGTTAATATAGGTCGATAGGTATTCACAAGACTCTCGCTTCTCTGAACTTTGTCCAGGCCCTTTAAAGCTTGACTTACTTAATGCATAGTTACAGGGGTGTGCATTTACAAAAATTAGTTACTAGCCCATCGGGCTAGTGGCAGTAACAAAGTTACTAGCCCGAGGTTGCCAGTCACTGGCCCATTAACTACCGAAAACAATATATGTATAAGTATAACAAAAAGGTAAAAAAAAAACATTTAAGTTGAAATAAACTAGAGGTACTGTGAGCACTGAGCTCACTAAATAATACCCCCCGCTTCCCATATAATTATAATGGCAAAGTCCATGTTTTGCTCTGGGAAACCCAAAATAAGTGTCAGATCAAAAAGTAAAATAGGAGGTGCACAATGGCAATATGTAACAAAGATTCTGTGAAAGTCTCATAAAATTTCATTCAGCGGTATAAGAGGAGTTGCAGATAAGAGATAGGTACCCAAAAGCGTAACAGACAGACAGACGGACGAACGTACAGACAGACAGACGGACGGATACCCCGATCACTATATACCCTCCCACTTTTCAAGCGGGGGGTATAATAAAACAAATAATGGTTTTTGTCAGGTACTTCTCCCTATTTTTATCTACTATAATTGTCACTGAAACGACTGGCAATAGTAACACACAATACATATAGGTTAAAATGAATTAAGATTATGATTTTGCAACAAAGTTAATTCGTACATCAATTCAGTCAACGTAAATATATGTATACTTCCGTTTTAGATTTACTAGCCCGACGGGCTAATGCAGTATAGATTTATGATAGCCGACCTCTAAAATTGGTAGCCCCGGGCGTCGGTAATTTCACACCCCTGAGTGAGAAACAAACACTTACTTTGGAACATATCCACAGTCTGCAATGTATACACATGGCACTAAAGACAGGTAGTTTCCAAATATATCCCCATGGCCATCTCCCTAAAAAAAATGTTATCAGTATTAAACCAAACTGTGGATTTTCTTTCTTTTAAATTCTCACAAAATCTTCTCCAATTGTGTTTGCATCATAATTCAAGTAGAAATAATTACTTTAAACCAAACGCATTCAAAGGTCTGTGTGTCAAAACACTTAATTTTAAATATAGATGGAAGTGTCCTTCATTGTGCAGTTGGCATATTAATTTTATCTAGTTTTAACTGGATATATACAGTATACCATATTTTTTTTTTGGATTGATTGGCTGTATGAAAATGCAAAGATTATCTGAAAGAGTTATAGGAGTTAATACTTAGTGGATGTACACACACATGCATGTGGTGCCACCTCAGCACCAATGGCTACATTGGCATTGGTTATCAACTATTATGCCCCTGGAATGTAGCATTTTGGCCTAACTGTTTATTGCAAAAACTTAATAGTGTAAGAACTATGCACAAGAGAGCATTTAAGTATCTGCTAAGAGGCAAGATAGGTAAGCTAATAAAGCTTCTGTCTCTACTTCTAGGGGACTGGGTATGGATACTTGGCCACATTTCTCCTTACCAAGACTTGGGTGAGAAACGCTTTCAACTTGACATATAGTATCCGGCCATAAGTGAGTCATACTTTTTTTTTCTCTATATCAGGGTTTTCCTTAAGACCCGGGGCGGGGAATTTCCCTGCCTATAATGATATAAACCCCCAGTTATTCTGGTATTCCCCCTCAACCCTCTGTTAGGAGAGGAAGCCCAAAACCCCCTTCTACTTTTTAAATGTCCTCAGCTTTTTCAGTTCTTATGGACAACTCTGCTATATATTTCAATTATGGTTGTAATGTACCATTTGATTGGCTGAAAAAATTAGTTTTATAAATCCAAATAAATTGTACCTCTGTTGCCTACATCAAAATATGACTGATGTCAAAAACGTATCAATCCGCTTAATATATTGTTGAACAATTTGAAGTCATTTTTGAGGGGAAATTGTTTCCTTTTTTACACATAAGGAAATTAAATTAATCAGAAGTCTATGATGAGACTGCATCTCTACTGGTGTTTACTTATGATAAAGAAAGATGTATATTAATAAAGTCTACTTGTATTTGGAGAAAGGCCGATGAGAAGTCATGACTACCACATACAGCGACAGCAATTTATTGGGATCCATGCCCCATTTCATAGCAGCAGTTGTGTGTGGCATGTGCCATACATGTGTACTTAAAAATAATGAATGCAACATTTATCTGAAAGTTTCCAGGGGGACATACCCAAGCAGATTCCTATAGTATATACACCAGTCTAGACGAACTCTCAAAACAGCGTGAACGCTGAAAACGAAGTCTTTGTCTCCATCATGCATTGCGGCAAAATGGATACATGGCATATCCGAAGTAAAAAGAATTGATTGTCATTCGCTTTCTCCTAATATACGGCCGCATAATGGCTGTATTTAGTATATTGTGACTTTATTTTAATTTTTGTCGAATGAATAATTACACTTGTTTCATTATTTTTGTGGATACTGACTTATTTATTGCTTCAAACCTTTGCATAATAGTGATTTGGATATTATATATATATGAAATCAAATTCATTACTGCCAGTAAGAATAATTTTCCTAATTAATTCATTGTCACCTTGATTTAAATTTTATGTAATTCCTGCAATTGAGATGCCTTTATTTGTTTTGAAGACACCCAGCATGCCCAGATTGTATTTATTTTAAACAGAAAATGCACATTTTTCACCACAGAGGAGAGACATCAACAGGTTCAATTTTAGAAGACCTCTGGTGATTAACATGAGATCTTGTGTCTTGTGACCTTATTTTTTAAAAGAGTGATTTTTTAAGTTTTCAAACTAATAGATAATAGTTAAAAATATGTTTTTATGGATAGATCTGTTCACATAAAAAATTGGTAAATAACAATGGCAAGAACTTAAGCTTTTAATTTAGATGTTGACACAATTACAATCCGGAAATGATAATTTGTGTAAAATTCAGTCAAGTTTGTAACAGTTACAATTAATATATATTGTTCCATTTTGCCATATTTCCCTTTTATTACGCATTTTTACTTCTCAAATCTGTAATTGATCTGACTAGAAACATCAAATTTGAAAATAAAATATCTCCTATTTTGCAAATAGAATCTAAAAACTGACAAATATGATCTATTCTGAAGACTTTTATGTAGCATTTCAGGGTACTGGCATGATTTCTATATGTTCCAAAACTTTGCACGAGCAGTTTTTGTAGACCCATGATTTTTGCCGAAAAATCGACATTTTTGTGTGTGTGTGTGCATGCATGGACCCTATTTTCAACGTCTTCTTCAGATTCAATTTCTTACTTCTGGTAACTCTGTTTTTGGAGTTCGTCTAGACTGTTCACACCTCTAGCCCTAATATCGAGCACACATTCACATTTCTCCTTTTTAATATAGAAAAGGGTAGTCAAATAAAAAAGTAGGTGAATCCCTGGAGTGGAAATTTGGCAATAAGGCAAGTTTGGTGGCTAGAACTATAAGCTACATCATTCAGTTGGTTGAGCACTGATTTTAAGAGTTCTGGTAACCTCATCTGAGATTTGGCTCAGGAGGAATGTGGCGGTCAGACGGGTTCGATCGCCGGTGGCCAGAGACCTCAGTTGATAGAGCATCTGACTAGAGATTCAGGGGGCCCGGGTTCGAATCCCGGTCTGGTCCGTCGCATTTTTTCTCTTCTCCTGTTACAAAGGTATTACTGGCAACAATCCAAATATCCAGTCGAGCCGAATATCAGCCAAGATATATATATATATACAGGGTCATGCCTAAATTTACATACATTTTTGAATCACAGTCTTGTTATTACATTTTCTTGTAGAAAATTCTACGTTTGTTATGAAATGTAATATTTAAATGCATCCACCAGTTCTATATAACAATTACGCCAATATACATGTTATAGTAGCCTATTTAAAACAAAAAAATCAAACAATAGGAAAATACAGTGTTGTACGAACCTGATTTTTCAAACAACCTTGTCGTTTCAACTTTTTGCCTTTGGGTACCTTTATTCCAAGTTCTCTTAAATCTTGCTTGACAAGAGCTTGAACATTTTCAAAGCTATCTATTTGACTAATAAGCTTCATCGATATTTCCATTTTCAGCTCCCGTCCATGTCGGCCATATTCGCTTCAAAAGTCGCTCCGCGCAATATAATTGGTCAGAAAATATTACGTCAAATTTGAAACAGAAAGTATGGAGGGCATTAGGTTACATCTACTGAGCTAGGCCTTTAACTTACATTAACGAGTAATTTTGTTCAAATTGCTAATCAAAATTTTTCATCCAAATACAACATGCTTTATAAAGACTTTTTTTTAAGTTTCGGGTGACAGGATGTTTCGCACCCATGCATGGTTCGCGCTGGTATGTTTCGTTCCCATTCCTTTTCGCACTCAGATGTTTCTGAGTTCGCTGGATGTTTCGTTCCAGGTATAAATATTCGAAACACGTACTGGCTTTCCTAGAAATAAAAAAAAAATAATATTAAAAAATTGTCTGAAGTCTGTAAATTACTATTATTATGCTGAGAATCAAGAAAAGTTCAGCGTAATCAACATAAATCTGAATCTAATTCATCAGCAGATTCAGCCATAATAATTAACAGTGTCATCCACAAAAAAAAAAAAGAACCGATATTTAAATTAATTGCATGAGTTATTTATTCTCAGTGGCGCTAGTAATACTTTTTTATCCCACTACGAGTGTATTCTTGTTTAGTAAAAATTCTTCAAGATCAATTTATAGAATTTGTTGGAGAAAAAAGTGAAAGTTTTTTTTTACCCCGTCTTACTCCGACATTACAACTGAAAAAAATATGTCGACATGCCATTCATTTTCAACATAGACTTATTAACTTTTTTGCATATTTTGAATATATTGAAAAGAATTACCACTTATTCCTTTAACATGCATCATGGTCCATTTACCATTCCGCGATACCATATCAAATGCTTTTTTAAAGTCAATGAAGGCACAGAATAAACTTTTATTCCTACGCATTAAGAAATTTATTTTTTAAAAAAATGCAATGCCAAGGTATGATCTTGTGTTGAATAAATTTACCTGAAACCTGCTTGATTTTCTTTAAGTAGATTGATTTCATCTGCATAATCTTCCGATCTATTATTTAAAATATAAGTGAACATTTTTCCCAAAGTGGGGGGACCGGGGGGGGGGGGGTCCAATAATTTTGTCGATATATAGCATACTATTGAAAAAAATATGAATGTGCCCACTCAGTAATTACGTCTGACGACGCCCCCTTTTTTTTGCTTGTCAATGAATATTTGTTTAGTAGTGCCCCCACCCCAACAAAAATCAAATCTAATAATGTTTGCATGGATGCCCCCCCCCCCCACTCCCACCCAACTGAAACTGCATCCTACGGACCTCTCCTAAGCAACTAAGTAATGTTATTGGGTGGTAATTATCAGGATTCATGGGATCACTTTTGTTTTTATTTGTTGTTTTAATTAAACCAATGAACAATTCTTCTGGAACGTTAACGAGTTCACTTTTATGTATATAATGTCAAAAAATTTCAAGCAGACTGGCATAAATATAGATAGCGTTAATATGTTCATTCAAGATACTATCGATTCCCGGAGATTTGCTTTTTTTTTTTAATTTCTTACAGTTCTATTATTTCATCTGTCATTAATTAGAACTAAAAGTTTTTCGGTTACTTAACATGGTTGCCCATGTCATATGCGATGTATTACAGTATACAGTACATGGATATTCACAGTATTTTTGTTACAGAACGGTTTAGCGCACATCATAAATATACCCTAAAACCTTGAAAATTAGCCGGATTCAATAATAAGCCGGTTTTGAAAATAAGCCACCTATTTCTTGCATTGAAAATTACTCAAAAATAAGCCTGATTTGAAAATAAGCCGGTAATGATAGTTCCATTTAGAACACAGTGTTATTTTTAATTACAATATATTTTATTTTATTATAAACATTCTATGACATTAATAATTTTATCCAACAAAGCACAAGATATTAAAGCACTATTATTTTCTTTTTAGCTCACAGAAATCTTGACATTCATTACATGTCGTCTTTATCCTCGCAGAAAAAAAATTATTTCAACAATGCACGAGAAACTGTTGAACTTCAGTTTCATAAAATCGACTTAAATCTTTATTTAGCAACGGTAATCATGACTGTGTGCATCGCGGTAATCTCTTATTTTCAACAGAGCTCGAGTTATTTTAATAATTAAGTTTTAACAAAG